TAACAACTAAACCATCACCAGCAGCAACAACAAAAACAGCGGCAGCAACAACTAAACCATCACCAGCAGCAACAACAAAAACAGCGGCAGCAACAACTAAACCATCACCAGCAGCAACAACAAAAACAGCGGCAGTAACAACTAAACCAGCACCAGCAGCAACAACAAAAACAGCTGCAGCAACAACTAAACCATCACCAGCAGCAACAACAAAAACAGCGGCAGCAACAACTAAACCATCACCAGCAGCAACAACAAAAACAGCGGCAGCAACAACTAAAACCATCACCAGCAGCAACAACAAAAACAGCGCAGCAACAACTAAACCATCACCAGCAGCAACAACAAAAACAGCGGCAGTAACAACTAAACCATCACCAGCAGCAACAACAAAAACAGCGGCAGTAACAACTAAACCAGCACCAGCAGCAACAACAAAAACAGCGGCAGCAACAACTAAACCAGCACCAGCAGCAACAACAAAAACAGCGGCAGCAACAACTAAACCATCACCAGCAGCAACAACAAAAACAGCGGCAGTAACAACTAAACCATCACCAGCAGCAACAACAAAAACAGCGGCAGCAACAACTAAACCATCAGCAGCAACAACAAAAACAGCGGCAGTAACAACTAAACCATCACCAGCAGCAACAACAAAAACAGCGGCAGCAACAACATTAAGTTATAAATGCACAAACACACAATTAATTTGGCGTTGCACAAGTTAATTTGGCGGAGACTAAACGAGAACCATTACAACGCCAAATTTTTCACAGCATTTTTTTCTGTTAGCGAAGTCACTAGCGAGAAAAAATGCTGTGGAACATCGGTTATTGGGACGCTTATATCTCATGCTCCTTTTCTGACACTGTTAACATAGCGATGGTGGCACTGGCATCACTAGGGTAGTGGCACTGACGCCAGGGTGGTGTCACTGTTACGAGGGTGGTGACAATAACACCAGGGTGATAGCAATGTCACCCTGGTGTTATTGTCATCCTGGCATTGAGAGCAAAATGCAGCAGACAGTTTGCACGGGGATCAGACAACTTGCACCAGGCAACTGCAAGGACAAGAAACCTGCTCGGACAACAGGCTTGCACGTACAACAGACCTGCACGGACAAGAAATCTGCGCAAGGATGCAAGGACGAGATGCAAACAGGATGGAGTAATTGACTTATACGCAGAGCATACGCCATTTTAGATCTGCTTATACCGTAGAGAAGAAACATGTGTTAATGGTTCTGGGAATGTTGCCCCCGTGACCCGACCCCAGACCAGGCCTCCGAAATCGGAGTTGAAACACTTCAGGAGCAAGAATCGCGGGGGCGCTGATCCCCGGAGTCATTAACATGCATACAAAGCTTCTGTAGCGAAATACGTATGCGTAACAAAGACTTAGTTGTATTTGTTATGTCGATAACTATTTCTAGATTTTTTTTTCTTATTGTGGGACCATTAGTTGTATTTTCTCTGTGATATCGTGGACTAGGTCACTTTTCTGCTGCTGTGGGATCTTGGGTAAACATTTGTCCTGTTTCCTGACAGTACGGGTCTACCTGGAGTCTACCTGGACCACGACCAGGCCTCCCGGTGGATCAGGACCTGATCAACCAGGCTGTTACTGCTGGCCGCACGTAGTCCAACGTACGAACCACAGCCCGGCTGATCCGGCACTGACTTTAGGTATCTGTGCAACTCCCTCTTGAAGGCAGCCAGGGGCCTATTGGTAATTCCCCTTATGCTTGATGGGAGGCTGTTGAACAGTCTTGGACCCCGGACACTTGTGGTGTTTTCTCTTAGTGTATCAATGGGTGGGGTTAGAACCTATGGCAAGTGAGTCCTAAAACTCACTTCCATGGGTTCTAACCCCACCTGTGCCTGGTTTGTTTGCAATCGTGTTATTACGGTTTCGTGAGCTGTTAATGATGTGAAGATCCGCCTCTGAAGCTTTTGGTCATCTGACCGAGGCCTTCCGCTGGCTTACCGGTTCACCACTTTAAAAATTAAGATTGTTATTGCTGTGGGATCAACAGTGAGATAACGCTTCTGTTTGTTATCGTGGACCAGGTCAGCTTTCTGCTACTGCGGGACCAGTAACAAGAGAGACCTCTCTTGTTGGTTATCGTCAATAAAGTTGTCTGCTCTTGTGGGACCAATAAAGTAAGAAAACTCATTTAGAATTATGAAAGAAATAGGATGCTTATAAACAACACACACATAGAAGCTTACGACGACGTTTCGGTCCAACTTGGACTTTGTAAATAGTCCAAATCGGACCGAAATGTCGTCACAAGCTTCTCTCTCCCATGTGCGGGTTATTGTGCCTTTTTCTTCTTTTTAGGATGTTTATATCTCAAGGTGGCTCCTCATCCTCCTGACACAACACTTCTAAGCTGGTGTAGGATGTGCGTTCAGCCACTGGGATTCTTTCCCGTTCAAAACCGCTCGCTGTTTGTTCTAGGTGAGCCAGTCATTGATCCAGACAGTGGGAAGAGAGGGGAAGGAGGAAGTGGGAGGGAAGGAAGGATGAAAGGAGTGAGGTAAGAAAGGATGTACATAAAAGGGTTGTGGGAAGAGAAGGCGAGGGACGTAAAGAGAGCCATCACGATCCATCAGGCACTGTGCCACATGATCCATCAGGCACCGTGCCACAGACTCCAGCAATCCATCACAACTCGTAACTTCCGGGGAGGTGCGTGTCATTGCCTCCTGCCCCTTACAGTCCATCCCCCCCTCATTCCATTTCCCTCATCTTTTCTACTCTCTCTTATTCTCTCTTTGTTGTCTTACTTCAGCTAATGTGCTTATCGCTGTTATCGTAGCTCAGCTCATTTACACGCTTACAGCTGTTATCTGTCTTAATTTACACGCTGTTATCTATGGTAATTTACAAACTTATTGCTGTTGTCATACCTCATTCAATTTAAACGATTATATCTGTAATCATAACTCAGCTTATTTACAAGCTTACAACTTTACAACTGTTATCATGCATCACTTAAATTCAGTTTTTTTGGCCACCAGTCATAAAACACTGGAACTGACCGCCCTTGGGAGCTTTAAGTGCAAAAAAAGTTCTTTAAGAAACAGTTGGACAAGTACTTGGAAAATATTGGATTCAGCTAAATACAATGTAGGAGTCTCAGTACACAGTCTGCTCCTCCCCCGGGGCTGGCTGTGGTGGTAAGTTAAACCACACAGTCTTTTACAGTGGTCACTTGAACCCTCAGGTTAGCTTTTGAACGTCCCAGGCCATCTAGTTGACATAGATGAATAATGGTGGGACAGTGATTGAGATTATATTTTGCCAACGAAGTGGCTAGTTTATTGTGCAAGCCCCTTATCCATCATGTGGACGGTAGTAGCTAGTTCATTGTACCCCCCCCCCCATATCTATCTTGTGGACGGTAGTGGCTAGTTTATTGTGTACCTCCATATCCATCCTGTGGACGGCACCGCCAAAGCATATGGATACACGAAAGGCCTAGGAATTAGGCCCCGGAAGGGTTAGCAAGAGTCATCTGGATCTATATCTACATCTTGTCTTATTTGTTGTAAGCAAAATTAGGATATTCGATTAATATGTATGGCAACTTATTTTTATTGAACTTTTGGGAAAATAGCAGTAATAGCAGTAGTGGTAAAACTAGTAGCAGTTCCAAGTTCTGCTTCATCTGTGCCACTATTTTAACACGGTATGTTAATTCTCTACCTCTACTTATATGTCAGCAGTGTGGCCGGAGGAGTGGAGGAGAGGCAGAGAGCCTTCTGCTGTACTATTCTGATCTTATCTGTCTAGATTTAAGAAGCAGTTTAGTGTTCTCTACATATAAGATATGAGGTCTTATTTGATATCTCTTCCCAATGTTCTTTTCCTCAACTCCCCTTTCGTTTCCCCTCTTCCTTTCCTCTCCTCTCTCTTCTCTCCCTAGACCTACCATTTCTCGTAACTCATATATTCCTTCTTCGTCTGTTTCGTCTCTTTCCCCAACTCTCCCTCTTATGATAACTAATGAAGAGGAACAATCGGTGTTGAGGTAATCACCCGAGGGTCACCGTCTTGTTCCTTCGTAATGGCTCCCTCCCCGACACACCCATTCCTCCATCACATTCTTACTCCCTATTCCTCTCTCTCTCTCTCTCTCTCTCTCTCTCTCTCTCTCTCTCTCTCTCTCTCTCTCTCTCTCTCTCTCTCTCTCTCTCTCTCACCAAAGGGAATTTTAAAACTGTTACAGAGTAACTTGTGTATCTTCTGTGGAATATCATGCACTTCATCGCTAGCAGATCTGCAACCTAATGTAAACATTGTGCCCATATTTAGAAAAAAGTGAAAGGGGGGATATTCAAAGTATAGGTGTCCCAGTGACAAGTATTCTTGTAACAAATGATATGTATTCTTTTAACACAATGTGTGTCCCAGTGACAGGTAGTCAGTCTTGTAGCAGACAAAACAGACATATTTAACAAGTGTTCTTGTTAAAGCACTGTAATAGTCCATCAGAGTATATCATTTATAGACTACTTCTATGGCAGAAATGACATGCATGTCAGGGATGGGGGTTCACTTATCTAGGGCTGGCGTGGCGGCAGTGGCCAGTGCAGTGGAGGGAGCTGTTAGGGCTTTAAACTTGAAATACAGTAGTTGTATGGCTTTTTGTGGGAAAGCAATGAAATGCGGTACACCTCTCGGGGAACCAAAACTGAGGAGGTTGGCCCAAACCGATAAGATGAGGTGTACTGGCTAGAAGAATGAATAGAAAATTAGCTGCTAGAATTCAGCCGCAGCCTTAGGTGTTTGAGAAGAGTAGGCGGCAGTGTGGGCATGGGTGGGAATGGTCTGTGATGAATTGGATGTGGGTGTGGGCATGACCGTAAGTGTCCATGGGGTATTTGTGGGTACGGTTGTGTGTGTCCACAGGCATGAGTCTGGGGCGTGACATATAAAGACTACGGAATAAGACTACAACAAATCTCTCAACCTCTCCTTCCTACCTTGCGTTTGTCTTCTTCAAATGACGAGTGCTTCGCTGGTTCCCGTACCTGAGGGGAGAGACACATCGTTAAGTACCTTCCAGAGACAGACAGAGACATGCAGACAGTCAGTACAGACACAACTATGTGAGGGGCAAGAGGTAACTATACCACAGACAAGGACGAGGATGAACGCGGAACGGAACACTGACTCGTGGACAGACTCGCCCAGGGAATGAACTGGGGTTCAGTCAGTAAGTGAGGCGAAACTAATGGACAAGTCGCCCGATACCTCATGACCATATTCACCTAGCAGTAAACATATATATATACCTTGGAGTTAGGTGGTTTTGTAGGTCGCATCCTGGGGTAGATGATCTGAAAGACGACAGTAACCAAGATAAAGAATTAGACATATGTGCAACATCCGGGTATCTTTATTGTAGATATTTCGCCATCCATTGACTATCTATACAAATTCAAGCACATAATGGGAAGACAGAATTATATGCAAAAGATGAGATAATCAGTCCCTCAGCCTTTTGTATATAATTCTGCTGTCTAACGTCTACAATAAAGATACCCAGATGTTGCACATGTGTATAATTCTCCATCCTGACGGTGGTGTATACCATATGTGTACGACAGGAACCATCCAGGGAGGTACTACCGTACTGTCAAATTAGTGTACATAGAAAACCTGTTAATTTTTTCGCACTCTAGTAGGATTGTTGAACTTTTCTGTCATAAACACGTAAGATGACAGGCAAATTTTACACACAATTATTTATATTCGGTATACATACCTTTGATGAGTTTTGAGTCTTTCTACTCCCGGAGCACTGTATCATCTTTTGCAGACGATACTAGGATCTGCATGAGAGTGTCATCCATTGAGGACACGGCAAAGCTCCAAGAAGATATAAACCAAGTTTTCCAATGGGCAACAGAGAACAATATGATGTTCAATGAAGACAAATTCCAAGTACTCCGTTATGAAAAACTGGAGGAAATAATAACTAGAACTGAGTATACTACTAACTCTAATCACACAATAGAGAGGAAAAGTAATGTGAAGGACCTGGGTGTGGTAATGTTCGAAAACCTCACCTTCAATGACCACAACAATGCCACTATCACGTCTGCTAGGAAACTGATAGGATGGATAATGAGAACATTCAAGACAAGAGATGCTAAGCCAATGATGATCCTTTTTAAATCACTTATTCTTTCTAGGCTGGAATACTGCTGTACATTAACATCCCCATCAAGGCAGGTGAAATTGCAGAGCTAGAGAATGTACAGAGAACCTTTACTGCACGTATAAGTTCCATCAAACACCTTAACTACTGGGAGCGCCTGTAAGCACTTGACTTGTACTCACTAGAGCGCAGGCGAGAGAGAGATATCGTAATCTACACCTGGAAGATTCTGGAGGGACTGGTCCCTAATATGCACACAGAAATCACTCCATACGAAAGCAAAAGACTTGGCAGGCGATGCAACATACCCCCAGTGAAAAGTAGGGGCGTCACTGGTACACTAAGAGAAAACACAGTAAGTGTCCGGGGCCCAAGACTGTTCAACAGCCTCCCACCAGCAATAAGGGGCATTACCGGTAGACCCCTGGTTGTCTTCAAGAGGGAGCTGGACAGATACCTAAAGACGGTGCCGGATCAGCCGGGCTGTGGTTCGTACGTTGGATTACGTGCGGCCAGCAGTAACAGCCTCGTTGATCAGGCCCTGATCCACCGGGAGGCCTGGTCGTGGACCGGGCCGCGGGGACGTTGATCCCCGGAATGCCCTCCAGGTAGCCCGGCCATGGGCCAGACTCGTCTGGTGCTAGCCAGGTCAATCAGGGCGTTGCTGCGGGAGGCCCGCCGACTCATATATCCATCACAGCCTGGTTGATCTGGCCCCTGGTGAAGATACTTGTCCAGTTTTCTCTCGAGGACATCTACACTTGTTCCAGCAGTGTTTCTGATATCTTCTGGTTTTCTACCTCTACTTCCCTATATTCTTCTGAATAGTTCTTAACGCTGTAATATTTCCTTTCCAACCTAAGAGACCTGGTCTGAGACCCGCCTGGTCTGAGATACAAAAAAATTATCACTCTTAGGGCATTAACAGGGGCAGGAGGACATTTATGAGTTTTTAACGAGAGTTATTAGGGCTTGTTTGCAGTTATCAAGGTCGCGAGGTAGTTATCCTTAAGGTTCACAGCAGCAGAAGGGCAGACAGCGTGCGTGTCTTCACTAACATCAACACAGCAGGGTACACAGCGGCGCCTCTACCCTCGTTAAACAACAGCGGGAATGCCGACAAATTAACTTCTCACCACTATATCAGGCGCTATCAAACTCTCCACCACCTTCTTGCATCTTCACTTTACCTCTGCTTACCACTTGTAAAAGGGAAAAATAATGCAAAAAAGGGTGTGTGTGTGTGTGTGTGTGTGTGTGTGTGTGTGTGTGGTGTGTGTGGGGTGTGTGTGTGTGTGTGTGTGTGTGTGTGTGAGAGAGAGAGAGAGAGAGAGAGTATGCGCACTCGCCTATTTGTGATTGCGTGGGTCGAGTCTTAGCTACTGGTCCTGCCTCTTCGCTAGTCGCTACTAGGTTCGCTCTCTCCCTGCTCCAAGAGCCTTATCATACCTCTTCTTAAAGCTATGTATGGATCCTGCCTTCACTATTTTACTCTCCAGATTGTTCCATTTCCTGATATCTCTAAGGCTCTGTGTGTGTGTGTGTGTGCGTGTGCACGCGCGTGCGCACATTCACATGTTCACTCAGTTTTCATTGGGGCCGATACTTAAAAAGCAGAAATACAGTATGGTCACTGATAGATAACTCAGTAACCGCAAAGAATGCAAGACTTTCAAAACCCTTCTTCCATAAGTAAAGGGAATTACCAACCGGCCATCTGTCTTCTAAAGGAAACATGACGAGTTCCTGAGAGCAGTCCCTGATTAACCAGGCTGTGGTGCTTACGTTGACCTGACTAGATAGACTGCATCACTTACAGAACGCTGGGCCCATAAAGACACGTTGGACGAGCCCTGTCAGGCAAAAACAAAATAACTAAGAAGGCGAAGGGGTATCCCCAAAAAAAAACCGGAGGGAAAATTAAATCTAAAATATTCTCTTGCGGGGCCTAGTTGTCAATACGGTGGGGGATTCGGGGGGTTCGGGAATGACTTTTGTAAATCCGGAAGTAGCGAACCAACTGTGTCGTTAAGACGGGGGACGCGGGCGACCCATGCTATCTCTGCCTCACGACACCCACACAGACTCGACTACACACATCATGGGAAAGGACCCCTATTATGAATGGAAAAACAACCACAATGGAGAGGAAAACCCCACTGGATACCAGATTATACTGTCATTGCATCATTACACCCCAACTAAATCGAATCAAAAATTTCCATTGTGAGTAGTCATGGACCGGGACGCGGGGGCGTTGCCCCCCCGGAACATCCTCCATGTATAGCCCTGTTATTCATGGAAACAGTACAGTACTCGCCACAGTTCTTTCTCCTACTCATACTTCATATAAACAAAGCCCTAATTTATTCACTAATGGCAGCCATTACAGGACATAGCTAATATCTAAGCCGACGTAAACGAAGTCTTTCACTGGGCCACAGAAAATAGAATGTTCATTTAGAGTAAGCTTACTATTGTCATGGAGAATATTATAAAATAAAAAAATTGAGATTCAGGAATAAGAGTGTTGCAATATTATATTTTCAAGAATCGACTACAGTGGAACCTCAAAAATCGAACTGATCCCAACTCAACCAATTATGTAAGTGTATTTTTGGTAAGTGCTTTTTAAAGTGTATTTTTGAGGGTCTGAAATGGACTAATCAAATTTTAAACATTATTCCTGATGGGAATAAATTCGTTCGGTAGCGACACTTGAACAGCCTTCTGGTTCGAAGAAAGTTCTATATTTGAGGTTCCATTGTATAGTGTTACCATCACAGCTGCAATGAGAGCATTAGTCTATGTAAGAAAAATCTTCAAAGCAAAAGATTCCATGCCAGTGATGATAACTTTGAAAGCACTTGTACTTTCCAGACTGGAATATTGTTTTGTACAAACAGTCGCTTTTTAAGTCAAGTGAAACTAAACATCTGGAGAATGTACAGTAAATTTTCACCTCCTGCAGTTATTCTACCACAAATTATTGAGTGACTAAAATCCTTGAATGCAGGTGAGCAAGATGATAATATGCACCTGGAAAATACTGGAAGAATTGGTTCTCAAAATTGCATATTCATATTACTCCTTATGAGAGTGAAAGGCATGGGTACAATAAGTACATTAAGAGGGTAACTGAATAAGAATGAGGTATCAGAGCCTCTTGGCATCCTTTCTCTAGGTATAAGAGAAATAAACACATGCCTAGTTGTCTTTAAGAGGGAAAATTGACGGGGAGAAGTGGTCTGAGATCGAGCTGCAGAGGTCATCACTGGAAGTGCTCAGGAAGAATCTGAAATAAGCAAGGGAATTATAAAAAAAATTAGAGTGAGATTCATCGTTATCTGTCAGAGGAAAAACCTGATTTGGTAGCATTAGTGGTGGGTAAAAATGGGTGTGGATCCCTTGAGGTGATGGGAAGGAGGACCTATTAAGAGGATGAAGGGGAGGAGGTAGTGGAGGAGCCAGGGGACAACACTAGCCTTGGGAGATGGGGGGGGGGGGGCTTTGGTGAGGGACCACAGGACATGGCCATCTCTCGATTGAACCCAAACACACGCACATCCCTCCTCCTATTTTCCTCCCTTTCCTCTTCCTCTCTTCAAGACCTTTCTGATTCTTCAACCACAACAGAAGCCTGACAGATATTTGCGGACTCTTTCACCATAAGGGACCTTATACTCCCTTCCCCCATCCCCAGAATCATCCCCAAACCACCACCACTACCACCTTTCATTTCTTGTTTTACTCGTGGCGGCGGATGTTACCAGCAGAATCTCCTAATGGGGAACTTCAGAGGTGTTTCATGAATAAAATCTCTCTGACACGGGGTTGCTAAGACCCCTTGTTTGAAATCACAGAGAC